GCCCCGCTTTGACACAGCCAGCATGTTCTCCTTTATGAAGTTGCGCTTCGGCTGACAAGCCCTGTCGTGGGCGGCCCCTCCCAAGTGCTGCTGCGATGGCATGCGATTGGGTGTAAGCAACGCAGGACGCTGCAGGTCGCCGCAGCTATTGCCTGTCTTGCGCACTGGCCGAGCCGGAGGCTGCTTGGGGGCGGGCCGCTTGGCCTTCGTGGCAGTGGTGGTACGCGGCTTGGCGGGTGTGATGTGCTTGGGGGGACCCGGAGCTCGAACAGGAGACGCAGGGGACTTTAGTGCTGTCTCGATCTCCTGCTGCCGAACCGACTCACAGGCGCCATTCCGCTCCTCCGGCTCCGAGCGCGTCACATGTCCGTGCAGCCGCATGAACGCACCACTTAGGTGACGGATGGCGGCCGTGCGGAGGGTGGATCGGACAGCAACAGCGCCAGCGCGACGCAGGGTGGCCCTCTCTTTCGCTCGCCGCTTCAGGACGGCCTGTGCAGCGGCCCGCCACCAGCACGCTACACCACGGCGGAGCTCGGCGCGTTCGATTTGGCGAATGAGGCGGTCGACGACGTTTCGCTGCAACGCGCGTGCCGCAGCTGTCTTGTGCCATGCGTGGAGTAGCTTGTGCGTCAGCTGGCGGGCCGCCCTCCGACGCTTCGCTGCAACGCGCCAGATTATCAAGTGGCGACGGAGAGTAGCAGAGCTTCGGACCACCTGACATGCAAAGGTAAGGCAAACATATGGCGCACAGATGTGTGTTGTGTCCCTCGCTGGTTTGCCCCGCTCACTGACCTGGTGCCACTTCTGAAGCGCATGCCTCAGGACGGCCAGCTGCACGATCGTCTGCAGCCTCTGCGCCGCCTCGCGCCACGCAAGCGGTTTCTTCAGCTCTGGCATGGCGAGCTGGTACGAGTGAAGTCGGATGGCATGCCTGAGATCAACAATGACACATTGCAGCGACACAGGTATACACATGGATTTTTTTACTCACTCACTCGGTAGAGTTGAGGATCTTGCAGGCTCTGATGGCCTTCCTGCGCTTGACAGCCATGTCCCAGGCAACAACAGCTCGCCTCAGCAGGGCAAGCTCAGCTGACACACAGACATGACACACACGCCAATGGATAGGACATTCACACCACCGACAGACGGCGCACCGTTTCTTTCCCCTGCTCTCTCCCTCATTGTTTCTCACCCACCAGTGGTGATTTCTTCCATAGCAGCAGCGGCACGGCGAATGCCCTCCCACATTGGGGTGCGGCTGAATCCGTCCAGGAAGCGCTCTGGCGAGGGCGGCTGGATCAACGAGGGAGGGCTGGGTGGCCGACGCAGCTCGACGGCCATCTTGTCGAGCCTCTCCTGGTACTCGTCGATCTCCCTCTGCCGCTCCATCTCCAG